TAGGTAGGTAGGTAGGTAGGTAGGTAGGTAGGTAGGAGGAGGAGGAGGNTGTCTAACAGTCAGCTGAAGTGTTCACTATGGTTAAATGAGAGGAGGGCTGGAGAGAGGGAGGGAGGGGGAGGGAGGGATGGAGCACTGTGTCCCTCGTCACGAGGGACACAGTGCTCCATCCCTCCCTCCCCCTCCCTCCCTCTCTCCAGCCCTCCTCTCATTTAACCATAGTGAACACTTCAGCTGACTGTTAGACAGTAGAGTCTATCCTCTGGCCTCCAAGGAGAAGTTATATAGAGTGAAGGACATGAAGTGATACAGGCTGTGATGGAGACACGATGGAGACACAAAGACGGGGGGAGAAGCGGCAAAAAGGAGCAAACATTTCAGTTTATGTGAGTGTAGCCATTCTTAAGTAAGAAACAAATCTATTAAAATGAATAAAAAGTCACTGAAAACTAAGATTTCAAAACTTTTTAAATACCAAGATCCTGTGCTCAGCAGTGTTTAGATGGCGAATCCCAGATTTGGGCTACAATACCTTACTTACTCCATCATAACGGATTCTGAAGTTTGTTAAAAATAGAGCAATAATAACTAAAGTTGGGATTAATAAAAGTCCATCTTATCTTCAAGCAGGTGGACCAATTTTAGATCCGGTCCCCAGATCGGAAATATATATTTAATACTTAAATATCAAAAGGCTATGACTTTTTCATTGAATGTCTCCTCCACCTCGAAATAACCTAATGTAAGAAACATTGACGTAAGAAGGCCTCTCACTTTGATCCAGAAAAGGATCTTCCTATCGATGGCTTAAGTCATAAATGTCCAGCGACAAGTTATATATCAGCTGTAGTTAATTATCAATTCTGCTGAAAGTTATTTACCAAAAAGCCAAAATAAAACTCACTTCAAACCGGTGTCTATTCTCAAAACAATTTGTAGGGTAAACAAAGAATGAATTGAACTTGTAACACCACCTGACATCAGTCTTTGATCGTGATAGGACAGCAGTTCAGAAACACTATCTGACTGTTGAGTCTTCTCTGATTAAACAATGAAGCTGCGTCACGTCAATTTCCGCTGTTGAAAGCAGATATTAAATGACCTTGCATATGATATCAATAATGTAGGCTTCTCAACTCAATAGTTCTAAATCAGGAGCTCCAGTATTTGAATCAAGTAGTTTACAAAATTAAGTTGATTACATCAGTTGTTCTATTGTGTCGAATACGTATTTAATCAACATTTCACACCCTCTGCTGCTCATCTCATTTGAAGGTTGTATCTAGTGATTGTCAACAGTAATTACACCGCCGCTCAAACTGCCTTCTGCCTTCTCAGCCAACAAATAGTGCAGATTTCAACTGAATCTTTGAGTTCTGACTATTTTTTTACTAAACTGGGTTCAGATCCATTACAATGCTATCAAATCCTGACCCTAGTGATAACACAGAGAACCAAAACAAGCTGCCCTAAAGACAAAAAAAGGTTAAACAAATGCAAATTAGAAAGTTTCATTTTCCCAAAGACTCTGGAATCTCCTTATCTACTATCAGTAATATTTGATTATGGAATAAACTAAGCTTCTTTGCGAGATTTAAATATGCTGCATAATTTCACTTACTGATTGTGATAAGTAGCATTGTTTCATACAACAGCCAAAACCTTTATACTTAGGGAGAAAGTAGCTTTGTCAGTCGGCTAAGCTATCTCGCCAAAGCTGTGTGTGTGTGTGTGTGTGTGTGTGTGTGTGTGTGTGTGTGTGTGTGTGTGTGTGTGTGTGTGTGTGTGTGCGTGTGCGTGTGTGTAGCACCATCTCTTGTGGATTCTTGTTTACCTGAGATGCTCAGGTAGACGGCGGGACTTGTCACGTTCTCTCCTGTCCTCTCGTTGACCGCCTCTACATAGTAACGTCCAGCGTCCACTGCAGTGGTTGCCAAGACGACCAGCTGATTGTCCAAAGTGATTGCACTGTAGGGCAACACACAGACAACAAGGGATTAGAAAAACATAAATCTTCCACTAAAAGCACAACGGGCCTCCTTCTCTCAGACGAGAACACTGTTCAGACGGAGAAACTGACAAGAGTATTTGGTACATGGATCATTTAGAATTCACAAGGGGGGATGGAAACATTGAATACATTCATCAGGAAGGAAAGAGGATTCGGAGGGCTTAAATAAATCTCTCCTCCTGTCTCAGATTGATATGTGGCTCATTTTGTGTCTCTATCATTCTTTTGGCCATTTTCTTTGTTTGTGTATTGTGCTCTGTTCTCCCTTCTTTCCACTGATCCATTCTTATTCCCCCACACACCAGCGGCAATCAATACAGCACAAGCATATACACAAGCACACAAGATCTTACACTGTTCTCACATGAGCAAACAGAGATGAGAAACAATCACTTACAAACAGACTTTGTGTTACTGTTGCTTTTCAGGGGAGCATTACAGAAAGAGTGGATTTTACAGGAAACGTTGTGGGAGAGGATAGCAGGAGGGAGTCGAGGAAAGTAAAAAATATATTCGTAAAGCTCAGATTTCCTTCAGATGTGTTTGACGTTGTGTGCCTGGGAACAGAAGCCGCCAGGCAGGAAGTGCAGGTTCATGTTTTTAGCGATGCTTCTTGTCTTTTCAGCATGTAAGTGGATGTAAATCTCCCAATATTCTAACCTAAGAGCTGACACTGAAATAAAATCAATATGACCAAAGGGAGAATAGAGCATATTAAAGTGAGATGATAGTCTGTTATTTTTATAGACTCCGTCGGATTCTGTGCCCTGGCGCAACACAGATAAATACTGTTGTGATTTGGGGCTACATAAACAAAAAGTATAAAAGGAAAAGAAAAAAAATGCAGTGTGAATGATACTGCACAAAAGAAACCCTTTTTCACTTGGAAAATAAGTATAAATAGAGACAATATTTTTGAACAAAACATCTGCAAGTATGCGTTTATAAGCTGTGTTGTTTTTTTTCTGTGAGCATTGTTTAGCTGTGGGGAATCGGCAGCAATTTTCCAGATCGACACACTGCCAGTTGGGCGAGGTTTCCTCTCCATTTCAAAGCGGCACATAACACTTATACCGACCTGAGTCAACACTACATCCAGCGTGCCAACAGCAGGCTGAGTCCTGTCTCTAAAACATTCAAGTTTACCGCAGGATGTCAAACAACTGCTGCTGTTAGATTGTCAGATAATAAGAGATGTGGTGCCAGGTCACCTCACGCCGCTCTTTAAGTGGTGCTGCCGATTCCTGACAACCAAATAGAGCCCAACCGCTATGCTCTACCATCATCCCCAGATTAGAGATGATTGTGTCAATTCACCCATGACCACAAGATCATCATGGCTCTTTAGATCATACATGGAGGTGTCTGTATGTGCTACACATGAAGATAGAAAGCACTGATTAAACTACATATTGATTGAGGAGAGGAGAGTAGTGGAGAGAGAGTGTTGGGCTGTTTGACACACACTCCCACAAACACACAGAATTCTTCGGGTCTAATTTTATTCAGTGTGATTTCCCAGGAGAACATCCACAAGAGCCTCAACCCAAACACTGACGCTCTATTTGTGTGAGTGTATGTTGCTTTGTTAGTGCATGTAAGTCTGTGTGCACGCCACCTGATCTCACTGCCCAACCTAGAGGCTACAGTTAAACCTTTCCCCTCTTTTCTCCCACGTCCACGGTGAGGATAGGTTTTGCATTTCTCACCGAGGTCTGTAATGCAATTTATGCCTGTTAAGCTCATTAACTGCACTGAACTGACAATTTGAATGCATCTGTTTTACCCTGTACATGCTGATTAATAAACAGTGAAGGCATCAAAGGAGCTCAGTGGGCGGGTGAGAGAATGCAATAAGATCAATTATGATAGCATACTAACATCTGAACATTTGCTAAGTTAAAAGTATTTATTCATGTAGGATTTTCCTCATTTACATATCCCATTTATATGTTCTATTTACATGTGAAATTACTTGTGATGACAGAGGCTGGCGGCTCCAGGACTTTGCGTCACGCTTTCATTTGCTCCTAATTGGGAGGTCTCTGCTTGATTTCCCTTAAAATCGTCACGTGGAACTTTCATATCGAAAAAGCAACACAGAGGGAACTAAATGAAATATACCAATAAGAAGTCAGACAGCAGAGATTAAAGGACCTACATTCATGTGGATTTACCTTCATAAAATAATAACAAGTCTGTATTTGCTCTGAGTAGCTGGAGGGTGGTTATACAATTCCATCCTAAGAGTTATAATATAGCCAGACACACAGGCAGGCATACAACTAGGCGTGCACGTCAGCTGCTTACCAGTGTCTTTTTTATCATTCAGACTGAAACTTGATGTAGTTGAGATTTAATATTACATGAATTCAACATGCCACTTCCTGCTCTCTTTTAGTTCTACATTTAATTAAACTGGACAAAATTCTTCTGGCTTTTAATTAAAGACAAACTCAATTGTAAAACAGTGCATGACTCTGCATGCATATGTGTGTCCGTGTGTGTGTGTGACAGTTTATCCCCAGGCAAAAGAAGAAAATTAAAATACGGTAATGAACTACATCCTATTCCCTTCTCCTCGTGAATTCCTCCCTGTATCCCTCAACCCCCTCAAATAATAGAAAACAGCCTCTCTGACTCTTTCACTCATACTGTATGCCATTTTCCATTCTCCCTCAGATTACAATCTGCATATTTCATCCAATTTTCTTTGGATTTTTTTGTCTGAAGCTTTCTCTCTATCACACTGTCGTCCCCTCTGACTCCATACCACTGTCCTGTCTCCCCCCCCTCTCCCGTCTCCTTCCCCCTGACTCTTTTCAACCAAAACACCAATCCAGATTGGTCTTTCATTAAGTGTCTTGCCCCAAGACTCAATTAATAAACACTCTCGGGTGCCTGGACTGCAAGGCTGACTGCAAACACACACACACACACACACACACACACACACACACACACACACACACACACACACACACACACACACACACACACACACACACACACACACACACACAAGTGTGCCAAGAGGTAATTAGTACACGCATGTTACAGGCAAGAGGATGAGTGAGGGAGTCAGCGCATGAATGACTGTGTTTTCTTAAATTTAAGTGTGTCTAAGAGTGTGTATCGAGTCTAAGGGGGCCGTCTCTCTGCCAATGGGCCCCCTTGGCCCTGTCTGCCCTCCCCCTCTATCTCCGATAGGCAGCGAGCCACCTTTTCAGAGCGCACTGACATGCAGAGGCTGCGGGTGGAGGAGTGTGGCGGGGGGGCCGGAGGAGGGACACTCCACTGTAAACCAAGTCCAGACAGCAGGCTCTTTGGCAGCGTACTCTCCAAAGCAAGTGCCAGCCACCCACACATCATACATACTGGTGTTCTCACACAGTTGGGAGCATTCACTGTTTCTTGTGGCCGTTTGAACCGGATGTTTGCCTACGTGTTTTAGTTAGAGGAAACATAAATAAAGTCTATGTCGGACTGATTCATAGTTGCCGTACAGAGGTGCATACATGCTGAACACTACACAGTGTGTGTGGACCTGCACAAATCTCGCTTCAACTTACCATTTGTTATTACATACTACACATGGGGTTGAGGTATTCAAATGTTTTAAGCATTCCTGCTTTCAAAACGGCCTGTCAGCTTGAGTTGTGGTGTCTTCTATCCCAAAGTAATTGGCAACTATAAAACTCTGCTGCAGAGACTGCATTGTTTTTGAATGCGGAGACGATGGGGAGAGCTTCTGTACCACTTTCATCAATTTAAGCTTTTTTTTGTGGCTTTTCTTTTTCTGCAAACAACAGCTGACAGAAAAAAACACAGTGATGCCAATAATTGCTGTATACCATTACCGTAACAAGTCATCCTTATTATCAAGGGTAGTATCTTCTATCCTTATTTCCAAAAAAAAGAGAAGAACGTATTGTAGCCTCATTCGACTCTATAAGGGTAAGTCATCCATCAAGAAGTACATTTCTGCAATAGTTGTATTCTCGCTGAACACAAAGCTGGTGGTGGAGTATTTTTCCCCAATTTCAGAGGACACACTATTTTAGTGGCTGATGGCGATACCTGACAGCCCGTTCCTGTTGTAATGCTCTGGAGTAAATTGGGCTCCAGCTGAAACTCCAGGTCTCAAATGGTATAGGGGTTTGGACACTACTAAAATGTGAAAGTACAGAGTGAGGGGAAAAGAGGGCTGATACTGGTGGTGAACAGAGAATAAAGACAATAAGGAGAACTTAACTTTGCCAATTTCCTACAACAGTTCGTGTAGTTTGGTTAAATATGATAGATGTGTTTTAGTAATGGGATTAAACAGTCTAACTGAGTTAAGAGCAGGAACTGGAGCGCTGCCAGCAGCTCTTGACATTCTGCTGCCAGCAGTCTGACAGTGTCTGCTTTAGTGATTTTCCATGCATAGTTTAAATGAAGCTATTGTTAACACAGCCTGGGGGTTGAAGATTTGTTTTACAGTATATTTGCTGAACATTCTTTAATCCTCTTGCTAAGTCAAAACGCAATCCCTCCAAACATTATCTTCAAAAAAACATTTGTTGAAGTTTCTGATTGCTACAAATGTGAGGAAAATGACTAAACGCTATATTAAGATATAACATCAAATGATTGTGTACATTTTGCAACTTTAACAGAGGTTTCTTTTAGACTAAATTTTTTTTCCTCAAGTCTTTAAAAGGGATTGATTTTTTTCTTATTTTATAGTGTATTATTCTGGTGACTAGAAGGAGCCCATCGACTCAAACAAATAATTAAAACCTGCTGTTATTTATATAACTTATTGATTGAAAACTTGATAACGGAAAAAAACGTAGTCATTAAGTTTTAATGTCCAAACACATCAATAATGATTGGAAAAGCAGTGGTTAAACCGGCCAACAGTTTCTAATATGACCAACACAAAAGGGAGATAATCTTCATTCTTCAGTAA